GTAAAGGAAGAAAGAACTTACCTTTGGAATAAGAAACTTTCTTTCTTTACTTCTGGACTCGAGCTCTTCCTGACATTAAACAATCTAAAATGATCAGAATCTGATCCTGCTCTCATACGAATGGAATTGTGAGTAATTATAAATAATCTCTCCTGAGTCTAACTCTGCATTTATCCAGATCCACGCATGCTGCTTCACATGTGATATCTGCTGCGAGTCTGGAGCTGCGGACTTTTCTTTTACCACCGGACTGAAACCTGGGTTTGACGTGTCTCATACGCCACCTTTTGGACACTGCGGGGAACACACGCATATATACATGTACATGTCCTCTGTCCCGCAACAATCAGAGGATGTGAACCACAGACTTCTGCTTTTTTAAGGGGATTTTTATCCTGCTTTGAATTATTCTAACATTTATTCAGCAATAGAGGATTCTAATAAAGCCTCTTAGTAAAATGAGTAGTAGTTCCATTCATTCCTGTTTTTAGACCACATTTCAGAATGACAATCTGATCTCCATCAGAAGAGAAAGAAATGATTTATGACTTATTCTGTGTAACGTGTTGCTCCTCCTCAGGCTTTGACCAGGTCAGCCAAGCACGAGCCCAACAACATTTCTCAATACTCAAATATAGGCTCCACTTCTCTTTTTTTTACTGAGGTGACTGTAGTGGCTTCTTCTCTCCAGCTCGGATTGGCAGAGCTGGCAGCCTGCATGAGGAGTAAAAGAAAAGACAGTCCAACTTGTTGGGGGGGATAAAGCAGACACATTTGCATACCCTGTGAGTCTTTGATGCATCTCGAAAATTCAAGTCTAGCCCATAAATATTTGAAAAGGAGAATGCATGAAAATCAACATTTTTGTTACATTAAATTAACATGTGTTCTTCTCCTGTTCTGCATGGTTAATTAGAGAACACCATTCAGTCAGTCAGTCAGTGAGGTGGGGGGACTTTGATTACAGTGCACACAGAGCAGGTTTCAAAGGTGTGCAGCTGATTCATGCTCAGGACCACAGTGATTAGTATTCACAATGAGGATTCATAATTACCTGCATTATGAAAGAAGATTTAAAAAAAAAAGAAGAAGAAGAACGTGCACCAGGATATTGGTTCACTCCCTCGTTTTAACAGTAGTAGTTTATCTTAACCCCCCATTTAGCATTTATACGCAACATATAAACAATTAATACATGTTTATCACACACTATGAGGCAGTTATTAACAGATATAAGTGCATGTTTAAATGTTTATTAATGGTTTTTTCATGGCTGCTCTAAACAAATGAATATCACAGAATACCTTTTTTTCGTTGTATAAAAAGTCCTCAGTTTAGTGTTTTTAGATAAATGTGTATAGTCGTAAACCTGCCGAACACACATATGGTTAAAACGAGCTTTGTAACACAATGTAAAATTGCTATGAGCCAGTGTTTTAAGATTAACAAACAATTATCTCAATACAAACGAGGATTAGAGATGTTCCATCTGTATTTTCAATGAAGGAGAGAAATTACGTCACCCGACATAAACTGCAGTCGAGTGAGTGAGACGTTCTCCAGTGGTCCAGTTGTAAAAAGATCAACTTCCACAACAACAAAAAGAAAACAACAACACAACTTAGTCATTACCGGATACCAAGTTACGCAATTAATTCCAACTCTATTTGCATACATGCAAATCATCTCTCTCCCTCAATTGGACTTGCAAAGTGGGACGCTCTGTTCTCATTAGTTGACCCAAATCTCTTACTTGTAACTCTGGATTTCATCAAAGTTTAGTCAGGATCTAATATTTCCTTTCAAGTTAACAGAGAACCACTGATTAATCATGTTGAAATAAGGAGTGCAACATGCCATTTCTAATTATATAGCTATCAGGGACCCAATCACACAGCCCGTGCCAACAATACTACACATATTCAACTCTGTAGCACTCAGGGATGCACTTTGACATGTATCAGACTATATGTAATCTATGATGTAAATTCATTATATCAGAGCCTCAATCAGTAATCTATGTATGAGACAGGTGAATTCATCGTCTGCATTTTCAAAGTAAGGTTTTGAGATTCAAATGTTCTTACATTTAATCACAAGTAGCTTTAGGACTGGATCATATGGCTAAAATCATATTGAGATGAAAATGTTCTTATCAGTCGATATCTATAATCATTATGATAAGTGTCACATTATTGTTTCTTTGAAGTTTAAAGAATGATTTTCACTCCTGGGTAAAGGTTGTGGTTTAAACTCGACTTTATGGGGCAGTGACTCACACTACATTTAAAAAATCTGCAGTAGATCAACTAGATGTTATAGCTCTTCACTTATACAATGCATTATATTGATACATATTGGACTTTAAATTGCTCTTGGGATAATTATTGTTATTGTTCTATTGCACAGCTCTATGAGGCCTATATTCATTTGAGACAATACATTTAAAAAGAGCCCATGTAGTGTATCACCACTATATTTTACTGTGGACCTTAAGTTATATTCAGCCTTTTCAATGGCATCATTGCTGACTGTATGTAAATTTCCCTTAGCT